GTTCCTATTCTAACTTGAAATATTTCTTGTAATAAAAAGTTAACATAAGAATTTCTCATACATGAATGTCATTCCTCTTTTTCATGTCTAAAATGAAAATTGATTAAAATTTTTACTTGGTTTTCTTTTCATTTTTGATTTTGTTAATATTGATTCTTCTATTATTTTTTTTTTTTCTTCACCCATGTTTTTTAAAAATGTTTCTAAACCATTGTCTCCCTCTGATTTGGATCATCTAGTTCCAACTTATTTAATTATGGCATGAGATATTTTTCCAGCTAACATTTGACATTTTCTTCCTCCCCACACTTTGTGATAATGTTCACTTTGTACAAGCCTCAAGAGCCACTCGAGTTAGTTACAGAAGTAAGAGGCACTGTTTATGAGGATATGTGGGGGAAAATAACTACTTGAATAGAATAAAATTGCAGTGATTGAGGAAACATTCTCTTGAGAGCCAGATTGGAAATAATAAACCCTTTCAAAATAATGGTTTTTAGTGCAACCTTTTTCTCTCTCTCTCTCAGGAAAAGATAAATTTTATGTAGGACCATTTGTAAATTATTGATGGGTTACCTTCAATAACATGAACTGTTCTTCACAAAGCACATATTAAATCATTTTATAACTACATCTTCTAGTGTATTCATGTTTCTTTTTTTTTTTTTTTTTTTTTTTTTTAAAGTGGGGTGGGACTTCATAACTAAAGAGTATTACCAAGTCTTAATTTTGTGGTTTTCCCCACCCTCTTCAATGAATTATAATTAATACCTGATTTCACTGGGTCATCTTCACCATTTCAAAAAGAATAATTTGAAATATTCACAACTTAAGGCCTGAAGATGCAAAGATTATTTAAACATCTTCAAACTTTCAGTTGAACACATTGTGAATATTTTATGCATATTATTCAAGCATTATTGTTATCAAAATGCTTCTGTTATCTTTTATTTCATGTTTTATTTGTCTGTAACATTAATGGATTTTCTGCAGCAAATCTCCTGTTTAATGTTCTGTTGCTGGTAATCTTAATTTTGTGTGAATTTAATGGGCAATAAATTCACCTCATTATCTTTTCTCCTTTCTGTGACTTTTCTGTGTCAAAAGATGATAGGTAACTGTCTTGCAGATCCACTGATGCAAGTGGGAGTTGAATTTAAAATTCTCGTTTCTGATTATGTTGATTTCTGGTTAGAAATTTACTGCAGTTAGACAAAATTGTCATATTCTCTCTGATAATCTGATTTACAAGATCAAGTTCAAATAGCTCGCTAAGTTCAGTCAGGCACTGTTGCCATGAATGTTGCAAAATAAAACTCCTGCTGGATTACTAAAACTGGAGATTCTTTTGTTTTTTGTTTTTTTTTTTCCCCCATCCTGGGCCAGTGTGATGAAGCCAGAAGTGAGACAGCAGACAACAAAGCTACATCATCCACCCAGATGATGGTTGTAATTCATGCATATCTCTTGGCATGTGACACTGAGAAAATTAGTTCATCTCTTGAAATTGAGACTCTCAATTTGTTGACAAAGAATAAATGCAATTAAACAAGGTGCCCCAAAAGTCACCTAGGTATTTAAAAATGTCATAACATGTCAGATTTTTCATGTTCCCCCCCCCCAGAACTACAATTAACATAGAGAAACTACCCAGTGAAAAATTGACAACTGAGGAAAGAAACAAATAGAAATGAGCTTTGTCACACATATTCAGTTAATGAACAAATTCAATAACTTCATTATCCAATCTCTGAAATTGGACTGAGTAATTTAAGCATTGTTGATGTCAACTGCAACTCCTGTACAAATTGCACTTTGTATGGGTATATCTTCAACTGATAAGAGTTTATGAATCAGTATTTCTGGTTCTGGTTTAACAGTCTTTGCACATGTTCATAATTCATCTGCAAACAACTGGAGTAGATAGGTTCACCTATCATCCAGTTCATACTCCTCTTCAGCCTTTTGAGCAGGAGTAGAGGTTTAGGATTGTTTCTGGTTCTTTATAATTCTCTTTCTCTCCCAGTAGCCCCTTACATCTTAGTGGCATTATTGCCTTGCTTGGGATGAATTGATTTAAAAAAAAAACAGAAAAAATGCGTCTGTATATGATCTTCATATCTTGGCAAGTCACCTATGGAAACCTAGGTGACTTGCTATATTGGCGGTTTTCTGGCATGGGAGTGTTGATAATATTTTGGGTGCAAAATGATGATCTTGTTGGTTCTTTATTCTTGTGGGAATTTTTCCATGGATAATTTCCCTGTGTTAATCAGTTTTGAAAATATATATAAAAAAATCCGACCTGTGATGACATTTTTAAATAACTAGGTGACTTTTGGGATAACCTGTATATAAGATCATGTTTGCTTTGTGGGGACAAGGCAGTTTACATTTGTAATTTCATGTTTTCATTATTTCACCCAATACAAGGCTTGAGATCTGCTCAAGGCATAGCATTGTAGTTTGAAATGATAATGGAGATATGAATGGAAGATGGTAAGAAGTGGAAATTATGAGGATAAAGAGGATATATAACAATTGGCTCTTGACTTGAAGACGTTAAGATTAAAGTGCTCAGGGAATCACTCCACATGGAGAAATGCAGTTTAATTCTGATCTGATGTTAAGTTTTCTGTTCATTTGATACTGATCAATGCCACATCAAGGGCTTTTTTTCTATTTTCCCTAATATGAAAACTAAGTTTTCTCCTTTTAGTAGTCATACAAATACAGGGTGCGATGGATAAATTGTCATCTAAATTACACAAAAATGGAAATATCACTGACATATCATTTTAACAGATATATTTACCAGAATTACACAAATGTATTTTGAAATACTAAAAAGTAAATTTATTCAATAAAATTGCCATTGGTTTTAACCAAAGCCTCCAGATGACTTCAGAATCTCCAGCATCACTTCTGGATGGTCACTTTGGTGAATGTTGCCATAATCCTTGCCTTCAGTTCATTTCTGGTGTGGCAAGAATTTTGTTGGTCTCTTGCTCAACTGTGCCCCAGACACAATAATCCAGGGGGTTGCAGTTTAGGGAGTTAAGTGGCCAGATGAAAGGGATGATGTGTTCACAGAAATTATCTAACAGCCATGACTGTGTTGTTCTGTTTGTGTGGTATGGTGCAGAGTCCTGTTGCCGGATATAGGGTCTTCCAGCAGCCACCCTCTTGACCCAGGGCAGCAATACCTCTTCAAGGCACTTGATGTATCCCTTCATGTTGAGTCTGAGGCCTTCATCAACAAATTTGGGAGTTCATTTCTTATCAGTGAGTTTTTCAAGCTGCTTTACTTTTGCAATCATATTAAACTCATCCAACTCTTTCTGTATCCATTGCACTCTCCTCAGATTGATACCCAAACACTGAATTGTTTGTATGAGAGCTTCTGGCACAAATGCCAAGCCATACAACATGCTGTTTCCAAATTTCTTGCAGAGTGAATTGCATCATGGGACACTTTTTATTACAGATGGTGCCCAACTGAACTTACTATACTGTGCAGTCAACAAAAACAAACAATGCACAGGCACAAAATTAAAAATATAAAATGGCAACAATTTACCCATTGCACCCTGTATTGTTGCCTGAAATGAGTCTTGGTAAATATTCTGCAAGTTATTTAATTGTATCCTCCTCTTTCTTCGTTTTCATCACATTTTGGTATTTCTCAAGTTTAAATTTGATCCAGCAAGATTTTAAAGAATTAGCAGATGACTGTTGAAAAATGCATCATTTGAAACGTTTGGGTAAAAAAAGCAAGGATAAGGATAATAGTCTAAGAAAATGATGGAATTATATAAGCCTTGTTACAATTTTTTTTGTTTTTCAAATTCCAATGTCAGCTGCTTTGAAAAGCTGAGTCTGTTTTTATTCAAATTAGATTTTGCATAAAAAATACGTTTTTCAAAATTTTAGACATGATACTTGAAAATTCTCTTATTCACTCTATATTTCATATCTCTTCTGGAGACAAGTGATCAGGGCTCTCCACAGCTTCTTGCTTTTTGTTGCTCTCAATAGTATTTTCTCCCACCTATTTCTTTTTGTTGTTCTTCCATTCACTTGATCAAACTTTGTAAATGTTACTTGGTGTTTTCCTCTTTTTGCCTTCAGTATGTCTTGTGAGTGTTAAATTCTCCAAGCCTTTTCTTGTGCCTTGAAAATTTCAGCTTTCTCTAATTCTTAAGAACTTCATTTGTTGCATGAAGATTCTTCAATAGAAATACATTCCAATTACTTCACGTTTGTTTGACATTCACTGCATTCTTTCCTTTGTTTCTAATGTTATTTTTTGATCCCTTAATATATTAACAGAATTTCTATAAAGTATCTTTAGCTATCCTTATTTGCCTTTGAATTTAACACTTTCTCTTGTGTGCCACTATGCTGCTCCAATGTCATTTTGATGTCCCCAATGTGTAATTAATATCTTGATGTGTCTCTTTTGCTCACAACCATACATTTTGTCTTCCTGCAATTTTTAGTTTTTTGTTCTCAGTTTTATTTGACTCTTGTTTTTTCAGTCTTCTTTCTGAATCGGCCACCAACACAGTGCATAGGTTACATTATTAAGATTGTTTAATAAATCCTGGCAGGTCCTCTAATTCTCTTTAGATAATCTTGCTGTAAAGGTCAAGTAAATTCAGTGATTAAACACCACTTTGTCATACTAGATATTACTAAATAAATCTTTACAGAATGAGTTATTGTCAATTTAATTTTAGTATATATTATATGATGGTTGTAACATCTCTGCAGCACCTGTGACAATCTTTGAAGTTTTTTAAAAGATTCTACTGATCTTAGCAATTTTTACTTTCCTCTGTGTGTTTATGTATCCATATCTTGCTTGTTGCTGTTAAATATTTCTGGTCAATCTAACCTTCAACAGAGATGATCAAACGAGTATTGAAAAATTATTCAGAAATACATTTTGCTTCATAGGATCTTGAGGTCATGCATTTTAAAATTGTTGGCTTAGGGCTACATCATGTTGAAACATTGGTTCCTGTATGATCACTGAAGTTAAACATTGTCAAGCATGGTCAGTACCTAGATGGGTGACCTCTTGGGAATACCAAGTGCTGTAAGATTAGATGTCTGTGTGCTTGGTGTAATTGATAATGGCTTGGAATTGTTAATCCGGGAACCAAGTTCCAATTCCAGTCAGGTTCTTCATATTGACTTGTATGCAAATACCCTTCTCCCCTGCCAGATATGGGTTAATTAGTAAGACTTGTCACTAAATCATTATTATACAAAAAACATTTTTTGCTATAAATTACCTGCAAAAGGTTGATAAACCATAGAAAACTAATGAATCAATTTTAAGTTGTTGAAAAAAAAAAAAAAAAAAAAATTTTTTATTAGACTGAAGAACAATGAAATTTATTTTGTATATGACTTCTATTTACTTTTATTTTCAACTTTTTATTCTGTTTTGATTACATTCAATAAGAAGACATTTGAATGGTAACACTTACATTTTCATATCCCTGTATATAGTGTGTGAGCTGGCTTTTGGCCATATCACATTAAAACACCAGTTCACAATCACCAAAGATAAGAAACATCAAGACTAGTCAGTCCCTAGATGACTTGAGAATACCAGGTGTTGTAATGCATAATGGCTGGAAATTGAAATTTGGAGAGCCAAGTTCCAATTCCAGTCAAGTTTATTATATTCACTTATGTGTAAATATACTCATGAAAAGTATGAATCCATCTTTTCTCCCTCCAGCTATGGGTTAATTAATAAGACTTTTATTGGTAAATTGCTATCTCCAAAGAATTTTTAAAAATATATTTTCTGGCTTTAAATAACCTGCAAAACGTTAAGCTGTTAAAAACAAAACAAAGCAATCAAACCAACCTTGAGCACTATTTCCCTATAAAACAATATCAATATATAAACTATTGTTAATTAATTATTCAAAGTGCTTTTTCTTTTCTTTTTCCTTTTCTCTTCATTTTCCTTTTCTCTTTGCTTTATTTTCTCTTCATTTTCCTTTTCTCTTTGCTTCATTTTCTCTTCATTTTCCTTTTCTCTTTGCTTCATTTTCTCTTCATTTTCCTTTTCTCTTTGCTTCATTTTTCTCTTGAAACAAATGTCTTTCCTAATGCACATACCATATGAGTTTTGGTTTCCAGGGGCAATGTGTATTCTGTATAGCCTGCAGCATAGGGACTTGTTAATGCCATCTCTGGTTGCACAAACCAGAGTCAACATAACTTTGTTACACAGATCTGATGGTTTTACTATGTTAGGCCCTTTTGTGCACCCGATGCAGCAAAATACACTTCTCTCTTATTTGGGCCTTACTAATCCTCTGAACGTCTGCAACAGACATTCAATGGCACTCTCAGATCTTTGTTTATAGAGCCAAGCCATGATTTTTTTTTTATTATTATTTTCTGTGGTATTTGGAGAGGGGAGCATTTATTGTTCTAGAAATCTCTGCCAAAATAAAATATCTTGGAACTTGATATCCATTTCAGCTCTTGCCAAACAATTTTAAAGACGTCTGCATTGCCTATAGCTGCCATCAATTGTTGAAAATCCAATGATCCATTGTCACCCACCCACGAAATTGATTGCTCTTGCTTAATGTTTATTTTTATCTTCTTTAATATGAGTTGTAAATATTTTTGTCATTTTAGATTTTCTTATTGTGTCTGTAATGTATTTTTTAATCGTTTTTCATCTGAGATTTGAGTTTAGGTCTTAAAGCCTATTTGCTTATTTCTAAGTAATCAAAAGTGTGTTCTTTTCTGTTTTTAATATTGAGATAGATGTTAGTAAACATGCAGATATTTAAAAAATTCACTCCTGATTCTTGTTTGTTTCTCTATACACAAGTCTTATTGAGTTGCCTTTGTCACATGAGAAAAATATGGGTGTAGTTCTGCAATAGACTCTGCAACTAGAAATAATTATCTTTTTTTTGTTTTTCTTTTCTTTCTTTTCTCTTTTTCCTTATGAAAATTAATAAAGGGGGTCTACTTTGTTACATAAATTCATTGTGAATTGATCCCACTACACAAGCCAAAACAAACATTGTTATATATTTACATGCAAACTATTGTTTGCGTCTTTATCACAAAACTTTTGACCATTGTGCCTAACCTAGTAGTTTAGTGTTCATGAATTTGTTGGCAATTTCTAGGCTGGGCGGGGTGTAGTTGCACTCAGTGGAAATGTAGTGAGCAATAACTGGACAGTACTAAATAAGAACTGGACAAGTTATGCCTGTACATGGATAGTGAAATGCAAACGATCTACCACATACTTTAAATAAAGGGTTCACTTTTAAATACCTTAAAGGTTATCTGAATCGGCAATCACTTGAAAGCCCAATGGCTGAAACATTGTGCTAACAACTACAAAGATGGAGACAGTAGTCCATGTTTAAATAATGTAAATTACTCCTTTTCCCAGAAAATCAGGCTGAAACAATGTTTTTTTTTTTTGTTTTTTTTTTGTTTTTTTTTTGTTTTTTTTTTTTTTTTTTTTTTTTTTTTTTTTTTTTTTTTTTTTTTTTTTTTTTTTTTTTTTTTTTTTTTTTTTTTTTTTTTTTTTTTTTTTTTTTTTTTTTTTTTTTTTTTTTTTTTTTTTTTTTTTTTTTTTTTTTTTTTTTTTTTTTTTTTTTAATGTAAGGAAAAAAAAAATTAAACTGGAGTAGATTTATCATATAAATTATCATTATCTATCAATTAAGAAGGCTTACGGCCAGGTCACGTTGAAACAACGGTTCCTGTACATTCACCGAAGTTAAGCAACATCAAGCCTTGTCAGTACCTAGATGGGTGAGTGCTGTAAGCTTGGAAGTGCAAGTGATTTAATGGATAATGGCTCAGCATTTTTAATTGGAGAGCTGAGTTCCAATTCCAGTTGGGTTTGTTATATTCACTTATGCACAAATACTCTTTGGAAAAGGTATGAATCGACCTCTTCTCTCTCTAGACTTTTATCACTAAATTCTTACAATCTACAGATATTTTCTGGTTTTAAATAACCTGCATAGGGTTGATAAGCCATAGAAAATGAATGAACCACTCAATCCCAATTATGAATTTCGATTTTTTTTTTTTTTTTTTAATATTGTAAGAAATCATGTAGAAGCATATTTGTTTTAGGTAGTGTTGTGGGGATCAATTTACAATTAATTTACATGGCAAACTGGACCCCCTTACTAACTTCTATGTAATTTAATCAAACATGTGTGTCATTAATCTATCATGACATGAAAAAAAAAAATCTCTGATAAATAGTTATTTCTAGTTGCAGTGCCTATTGTATTACTTCATGGAAAAATGTGTTGAAAAATTAAATTCTGTATACAATATTTGCACACTTTCCATTTTGATCTTTCTTTTCTCAATGTCTTGAATTTGAACATTTTACAAAAGATTGATTATAAATATGAACATCTCATGATTAACTGTAATTTTTTTCTCTTTATAATAATTGATTTTTATTTCAAATATTCCTATCAAATTAAATTCCATGTAACATTCATGGGAATCATTTTTAGTTCAAAATAAAAGATTTTGTGTAGAAAATTTTATATCTTAATTTCACTAAATCCAAGAAGAATTCAGCTTGTACTTAATTTCCAGCTTCTTAAAAACAAATAAGTTTTCCAGTTTTTAACTTATCTATTTGCTATTGCTTGAAATTTATGAGTATTTTCTTCTGACTTTAAATTAGTTAGAATCTTTGCCACTGACTTTTGTTTGCAGCCAATTGCTTGCTTCTAAGAAAGCTTATTATTTAACTGAACATTTAACACTTGACAAAAACATGCAGTTTTCTTTTCGTTTTTGTCCAGCAATTTATTTTGTTTCCTTACTCATTTCAGAGCTGATCCAATTTACACAGCCAGTGTTTGTGTCACGAGAAGATCCCAACTCCAGAATTAACACAATAAAAGAAATTAAAAAACGAGCCCACTCTAAGGGCGCCTGGCCCCAAGTTGTTATTTTCCCTGAAGGAACTTGCACCAACCGGTCATGTTTGATAGGTTTTAAACCAGGTAAGTTTCACTATTGTGTTGTTTTTTTTGTTTTTTTTTTTTGTATAGAAATTTGTAAATGCTTCGTTTCAACATATTGCCAATAGATATTAATCATGCCAGCTGTCTGTTGTCCTGTAGTTGATTAAAGCAGAAAAAATAGTTTATATTCTATCTTAGATTTGTATAAGTTTTTTGCCTGGGTTAAATGTGGGAAGATATTGTTTCTCTGTAAGTTTATTGCAAATTGGTTTTAATATTTCACTTCTTTTTAGAAATGTTAATTTCTCAAGTAAAAAATCAATACAAATACTTGTATGTTTGTGTGGTGATGAAAGGGAAAACTAAGCCTTACCTCAAAAAAGAATTTGTGTTTTCTGTGCTGTTGAGAGAAAAAAAAAAGATCGAGTTAACTTTAGTAAGCCTTACAATATGGTAATTGTTTGTATTTCCTATCTTCACCAGTCACATTATTTCTTACCTCCAATAAAAGAATGCTACTTTGAACAACTGGTGTAGTTCTAGTTCTTTGTGAGTAAAAAAGGTAGTTGTGTTTTGCAAATTATGGATAAATGCTTTTGATTCTTTCAGATTTATGCTCCCTGCATTTTTGACTTTGGACTTGCAATACTCATTTGTCACCCTTGGAATTATGATCCCTGGATTTTTTATTAATTTAGATTTTAACTTCGCCATTGCTATTCTCTTTCACAAATCTGTAGTGAATTTCCTTTTCCTCCATTCAATTAGACTATTTTGTGGTGTATAGGACTGCCAGCCCCATGCCAAAGTTCTGATATTTGACCCATAGTTGGGGGGGAGAAGAAATGGATTTGTTTTCCAAAGGCAATTGTGTAAAAGTGAATGCAAATCTTGTCTGAAATTTGTACTTGGCTCACTAATTCCATTGTTTGTGTCGGTAACCCTTGCCCTACAAGCACATCTACATTTCCGATCCTTTGTAAGTTTTGATTTTTATCCGATCTAAATTTGTGAAATTCTAGCAGGAATGACTCGTCTGAAATCTTTAGATAATATACAAGAAGACTTTTCAGCCCTATTAAAGTTAAGGCTTTTAAAATGCCCACCTAAGCCATGTCCTGCTGGGCAATAACTTAGCTGATAAACATGTTAGTTACCACCTGTCTGTTTTCTTTGATCTTTGATTTTATGATGACATTCTGGGCATTGGTCAGACCACCTGTTTGTTTGGTTTGTTGGAGCATGAGTCTTAACACAAATGGATTACATTTTTTAGGTACAATTGGACAAAAAAAAAAGTGTGCTGTCAGTGCCAAAGGTGACAAAGAGATTGAGTATGCCAATATCAAGAGAAATGCATGTGACTTCCAAGTACAAATAATGGATTCTGCTTGAAATTCTGTGTAGTTATTAAATATTGCCTTAAAAATATACTGGTATTTTAGCTAGGCTTGGTGGTATTTCAGTTCACTATTTAAAAGAATATACTATAATATTTACACACAAAGAAAATTATCTTTTTTTTCTTTTTTTTTTTTTTTTTTTTTAATGGGTTGGGGAGTATGCTATAGTAGAATGTCTTGCTTCAGTTTCATTAGATCAATTTATAGTTTGAGTCAAAGGTTTTATGGTTATTAGAACAAATAGTACTAATTACAATGATTTAAAAACACACAATGACCAAAGAACTTTAATATTATCATATGATCATTACAATATGGAGTTGAAGAGAATGATTAACTTCAAAATGTTTCCAATCATATCTGAACGTTTTCTCCATAAAATTGGTTTCTTCAGAGATTCTTGTCCACTTGTCAAATACAAAGGCCATTAATCATTGTAATTGAGTCTATAGATACAATTTTCACTGTTTAACCAATTTGATTCTCATTATTGGCAAGTTTCAGAAATTGAATGTTATTTAGTAAAAATAATATTCTTTGGATTATTAAACTTGGAATTACATTTGCTACAGAATTGTGTATTTACATAAACATTCACACACATTTTAATATTGAAACTGATGTTGTCTGCTGCTTTCTGACCTGCAAAAAATTATGATTTTAGAAAACATCGAATTTCACAAAATTCAAAAAAAAAAAAAGAATAAATTTATAATTGTTTTTTTTTTTTAAATCTGTTGGACCAAACACCACTGAATTAAAATAAAAAGTTAAAATAAATGTTGATTCTAAATCTATTTTTACAGGTGGATTTTATCCTGGGGTGCCTGTACAACCTGTGTGTGTTCGTTATCCAAACAAATTGGTGAGTTTAAGACTTTTTTTTTTTTTTCCTCTTATCTAAAAGGAAAATTTATTATGAGAAGGTACTGAATTTTTCCTCTCTCTCCCAATCCCACCAACCAATCTTGTCAGTCAAACAGCTTTCTTTTTCTTTTTAAATTTATTTTATTATCACTTGTTTTTAAATATCAGCATTACTTTATGATGAAAGGAAATATATTATCTGATCCTGCGAATTTGCCTCCTGGATGGATCGTCCAACATTCCTTTCCTCACAAAACTTTGTGATATAATGGATACTTAAAAGCAATAGGGATTTCCAACCTTGGCAAAGTTGTTTAATCGCTGCCTGCAGGAGAAATGTTTCCTAAGTCTATGGAAAGTGTCTCTGTTGTCAAGAATGCAGGTGAGCATAATATCACCCCATCAGCCTCCTTAGTGTCATCAGGAAACTCCTTGAGTCTGTTATCAGTAAAAAAAACAGATTATCTGAGTAACAAACAGTATGGATTTTACTCTTCTAGGTCTACTGCTGATGTCCTGTCATTACACACAGAATAAGCACTCAATAATAGAATTATCATGAGATCAATTGCTTTAGATGTAATCGATCCTGACCTGACATCTCAACTTCAGTCACTTTTCTCATTCTTGTATCTGTTTTTTCCACAAATATTTTCAAGGCAATTGTTCTGATGAGCTGTTTTCTTTAGTGCCTTGCATGAATTTAAGTATGCTACAAGATTGGCAATTAGTCTTATTGTTGAACTAGTTAGATGCAACTGTCAGTTCTATTCTAATAGTTTCTTTGTTGCACTTCTCCCCTGTGGAACTCCTTTCAGATTTCTTGCTTCCCTGCAAGCTACAATATTCAAAAAATTACATACTGTATCAATCATCATCTTCTGTCTTCCTGAAACCTGTTCCTTTATTGTTCTTTTCTTCACTTCTCACTAAAGGTCAAAGGCCTTTAACAAGGTGTGGCATAGAGGTTATTACACAATTTCCAGCTATGAAATCTCTGGAAGAGTCTTTGCAATTATGAAGTCATTCCTGTCAGCCAGCTCAGTGAAGGACATAATGGCCCATTACTTTAATGATCGATCCTAGGACATTCTCAGATCTTTAGTAAATATCCAATGCCGATGATACTACAGTTTATTGGTGCACCTCTCCAATCTCTCTTTTAGCTCTAACAGTGGAAAAATCTGCCTTGTAACATTAAATGTGCCCAGGGGGAGATTAAATAAGCCTGGGGAGACATTAGAAATGTGCCTGGGCAGAGATTAAATGTACATACCTGAGCAAACCCTGAATTTTCTCCAATCATGATGAATATTTGTAGTCTCAATGAAGCTCCTTGCCTTGAGTGTCTGTTGGTGTCTCCTGTTCACTCTAGATCTCAAGTTGAACTGATATATTACAATCTATCACTAAAGATGCTGGAAAAATGGTCAGTTTCGTGTACCACCAAGAAACTGGCCATTTAAAGATTTTATGCAAAAAACGGAAAATAATTACTAAAACACAAAAGTTTAATAAATCGATTAGAAAACTAATTAAAAATGAAAACAAATCATGGTTAATCATAATAGAATGTCACCCTAGAGTATCCGAACTTTATAGTCTCCTTAAAACCCATGAAACATGCATCCAAATGTGCTCCATTATTACAATACTCCCCACAAACTGGTGAAAACCATAACAAAAAATTTAACCCCTCTCCTTGGAACAATCAGCCCATCACATGTGAAAAAAATTCAGGCAACCTAGTTGCATAAACCAATTGTTTTAGGTGGCCCCACAGATAAAAATCCATCTTTCATGGTAGATGTCAGTCAGTGCATCACGAATGATGTGACTAAAATGTGCTGGAGCCTCATCATGCATGAATTATATACATCTTCGTATTAACAAGGGTACATCCATCTGGCAGGTCTGGAAGTGTGTTTGAAATAAAGTCCCTCAAGACAGCTCCTGTAAGACATGCTGGGAGAACATATTGACCTACCAGACAGTCACCTACAATTCCAGCCCACATATTAATCGTAAACTGATGCTGGTGTCTAGCCTGTATTGTACCCAATCCACCCACAAACAAATGTTGGTTGGATAAATTTGTTATTTCAACTCTTCTAAATGTTGCCTCATCTGTAAACAAGAATGAAGAGATTGGCAGATTGTTTAGGATATGGATACAGGAGCTGCTCTTGAAATACCCTCCATGCAGTACTATGAGATGCACGATATACTATGGCCACTTGATGTGTGTTGATACCTGGATTCTCTCTGACAGTCTGCAGAATGTGTTCTTTGCGGTCAGATGTACAAGTGGATTTTAGTCTTCCTCGATTCATAGTTTGTGGTGCCACAGATCCTGTCTTAGCAATGTAACGATAAACAGGAGCAAAGGTTGGATGACTCATCTGCCTTCAGTCTGAAAATACAATCTGATACAGCTGTGCCGCTTCATGCCCATTTACCATTTGAAAATTATATCTGCCTGCTTACAACATGAATATCCTGCCATTATTAAACAGAACACTTCTCAGTTAACTCACTACTACACACATTAGATGTTAAAGACAGACTAGCCATAAATTTACACGAATGACAAATGTAACCTAGTTTAGGTGGCAACACAGTGCCATCTACCATAAACTTTAAGCTTAACTAAAAAAGGAAGGATTTGAGAACATGTTTATATGGACTTTTATCCTTCTTTTGGTGTGAGGAAACCACCACCAAAGTTTGTAAAAGTAAAGAGTGTTTCATTAAGACAGATTATATATA